AAAAAAAAAAAAAAAAAAAATTTATTATTCCACTTTTACGCTGAAAGCTAGGAATAAAGAATCAACTGAAGTAACAAAACAGAAAATATATTATAATAATGCAACAACAGTTATTCATGAAACCATCATTGAAAAATATCTTGTGTACATATATAGTTATATGTAATTGTATCTAAAAAAAAGTAAATCATCAAAAATTCATGAAGGTATTTTATACAGAAACGAAAAATGTGTATTACAGGTTATATTGCGACGTGAATGATATGTTGAAAAGAATAGAAAAAAAATAGTATTATACGTTTTCAATTCTTTGAATCTATATACATATAATGAATACTACAAACTGCGGTTTCGTCTTTTTAACGCGGCATCGTGACAGAATAGAAAATCGACTGAAAGCGAAATAAAACGACGAAGAAAAATATTCCATGACATAAAAGATGAAATAAAAGACGTTTTTTGTGCTTCCCGTTCATACGAAAAACTGATACCGACTCCTATCATTCAGCATCGAAACGTCATTATGTAGAATATGCACGTGCGTGCTATATATGACCGCGTCGAGCATAAATCTTGCGGGACATGGCGCTTAATCGTACAATTGTAGTAAATCAAGCGATCAGCGGGAAACCGTAATTATCCGTGTACGCGGACAATGATAAATCATTTAGTAAGGATGTGGAACTATAAAATGTAATAGCACTAGTACCATGGCTGTGCACAGCGAAGTATATAAAACCAATGTTTCGCGTGTTTCCCACTGGGCTCATCCAAGGTATATTCTATAAGAAAGAGGCGACTACGGTGCACAGTTTGCGCAAAGATATCATATATACGTTATCTCTGAGTTGTATAATAAAGTTTGTTAAGCATTATACCCATTACTGCAACTTTGTGAAAAACAGTCGGGGATATTAAGTTTCTCTTGATACAATGGTAGTAGTCGGAGTAACGTCGAGTTCTTTAAATTTATTTTTATATATTTTATTTCTTTATTTCTTCTTCTAATTTCAATAATGGCAAACTATTGTAATTTGCGCAAAAAGAAAAAAAATAAGAAAAATTAGCGGAAGAAATAAAATGGTTGTTCCAAAAGGATAAAATCAATTATGAAATATTGTGAATTTCGATCGAGTACATGTATATGTATAAACTAACGAGCAATATAAATTAGATTTTAAAATTTTTCAAACTACATATTTAAAATATACGACTTACGTGTCGGTCTATAATTTCTCGGTGAGAAGAAGCCAGCGTTAGAATTTCCTGTAAAAAGATATTAGTGACTTGATTTATGTTTCTCTAATCTGAATATTCTGTTCTTTTCTCTCGATTTCCCCTTAAATAAAATATTTCTCGGAATTTTTATTTACTATCCAATTATATATAAATCCAATCTATCCAACCGAATCTATATTAATTTTATATAGAAACGCATTTATGCGACAGCATAGCTTTATATACGATTAATAGGAGAAATCATACAATACGATTTACATGAAATATTGGCACTTTCGTGTTGATAAAGACACCCATTATCCTAGGATATCACCGCGCGCCATCGTTAGGCGTCCATCCTAACTACCACCGAGTTTCCAGCTGTGCGTAGCTACGTGTAAGTGTATCTATGAAAGTGCGTGTAAAACGCACACCGTAGCCCGTCGGTTACGCGTGGATACGGAGCAAAGATGTAGGTGTTTGGCACGCTTCGCTACGGAGCGAGTAATCAACGGCGGGGTGAGACAGAGAGAGAGAGAGAGAGACGCGACGGGGGAATGATGTAAAATTAGAAAAATCTAAGAAACTGACCTGCAAATCCTGCAATTACGTAGCGAATCGTTCCACCCGTAGTCGAATCCATCAAGTAGATCACGTGGTCACAATGCACGCATGTTCCCGGGTTCCGAAGAGGGAAAGAGAGAGAGAGACGCGGATCCCATAATACTTTTTTTACGCATGCGCGTTACGCGAACAACGTTCATTCACTCACTCATACACGACGCGACGAATGAGGTCTCTAATCGTGCGAAAAATCGAGCGTGCGTTTGTCCGGTGCGCGAGATGCCACCGCTGGCGCGACGTCCGCCGCTCGTCCAGCCGAGATTTGGTAAACCACGATCGGGCCGGTCGTGTGTCGCGGCTCCAACTGTTCACAGTTAGTTCCTGCGGAGTTCCTCCTCTTCCTCCCTGTCCTCGTATGCACATACACGGAGAATACCGAACGCGAACGCGACAGGCACACGCCTGTATCCGCGATACGTGTGACGGGCCGCGTCACGTACGCTGATTACGCTCTTCGGAGTTTCACGCGCGTCTCTCTATCACGACCTCGCGATTGTGATTATAATATGCACGAGGCGGGTAGAATGAAAGATACGACTTGATCTGGCTCCTATTATTTACCTCCATTCCGCGGATTATCAGGCGGAAAACGCGATTTCGACGGAGCGAGCGACGTCCGATCGGTGCGCGGCGTGCCGGGCGCGCGGCCCATCTACGGTCGTTATGCGAATTTTTTCGGTTGGTACTCCTCCTCCAAGTTACGCGCGACAAAACGCGATGTTCAGATCGGACGTCTGTCTGACTGCGTAGCAGACGACATAATCGGGGAGGCATGGGAAACGCGCGAGCTCAATTTCGCTGGCGCTGTCGTCGTCGCCGTCGCCGTCGTCGTCATCGCTCTCTCGCTACCTCGCTACCCTCGTCACTTTCGTCGCCGCCAAAGGTGTCTCGCTACCGTAGGTGGTGTGCGGCCGTTTCGGTCCTAAGTAAAGGTAACGCCGTCTGAAGATCCAGAAGCGAGAGGAAAAGCCGGAATAAAGTGGGGGGTTTATGGGTTTGCATCCTATGTACTCCATCGTATCTCTAGTTATGGCTCCACGACAAAACCCACGTGTATAACCTCTCCTCGCCTCCGCGTCGCGTTACTCCGCACCCGTATATAATTCCGTCCACACGTACGTGTAGCGCGCGCGCGCGTGTGCGCGTGCGCTTACGGACATTTCAGCGGCAGGTTCGTTCGTGTAACCAGCAGCCGCCGCTATGCGAGCAACCCTCCTGAGTGTCTGTATACAGACGCTGAGTGCATTTTAGTAAAATTGAGTTGCCGCATGTTTCCTTATCGTCTATAGCCATCTATTCCGGAGTCTGCACTTTAGCTCTAAGATATATGATATATCGCATTTTGGTTATGATTCCAAAGTTTCCAAGTAAATTTAATCATAGTGAATTTTTTGCTAAATTAAACAAATCGTGCCAATTTCTTTCTATCGTGTTAGATTTACATACCTGCTAGTAAATTTTAGTTTTATATGTGAAAACATAAAGTATAATTTACAACTCGTTGGTATTTTGGCGAGCCATGTGTAATGAGCAACATCAATTTGATTGATGCACCCTTTTTATTAGTTTGTCATTATTTAATTGTATGTCAAGGCAAGTAGTAAAATTGTTGAGATAAGTTTCTTCTCTCAGCAATAAAATTGTGCATTTAAAGAAGACGCAAATGTTATAAGCTTGGGAAATCATTATAAATATGTATTGCGCATATATGTCAAAAAATATAAACTTTATGAAGGCATAATAAGTTAACATGTCACAGCTGAGTTCTTCATTTTTAAATACTTTGGTGACGTCAGAAGGCGGGAAAAACAGTTCTGTCGATAAAACAGAACACTATATATTATCGATTTCAAATATACAATTGGAAGATTGATGTAGAATGCGCCTTTAATAAATAAAATTTTGTTTCTAAAAATTTGTCAATAGTTATATCAAATTTGCTAAAACAATTAATTAAAATTATTTAAATTTTTAATGATTAAATATACATATACCATACAAACAAATTTTATATAACTTTACATACGTGGCATAAAAATTACGTGATGCAAAAAAATTAATATTTTTTTTAAATAACATATTTTGGAATTGATTTAAGTCTATTATTATTTTTTTTATTATTGAGCGAAACATTTTAAACTATATTTTTAATATGCATATGTGTATATAAAACAAATATTTTTTCACATGGGTGAAAAATTCTATATGCATAAAAATTTCCGTAAAATCATAGTGCAACACCTGGGTACAAGCTAAACGCAATCTGAACGCGCATCCATTCCTGTCGGATGTTTTAGACCGAAGAGAGAAGGATGGTTAAAATCATTCGAGAGATGGAAGCGCATGTCGCGATGGTCTGGAAGGGGAAACACTGGGTAGACGGCAGCCATGATGGCATGGGCGAGCCAATCGCTGCATCGCTTCGAACTGTTACGGCATAATGGCCGCGTGGCTCCGCCCAATGTAAAACTCGATGGACGTTACGCTTATTGGACACGAAAGCGTTAAAAATTTTATTACCTGCCTGACAGTTACACCCCGCTTTTGAAACTGTCCCTTGCTATGATCCCCTCCCTTTTCATTCGCTAATCGTAAAAACCCGACGCACCGATCTGTAAGAGAGCTGTAGTTTCTTTAGTAAACTTACGCCCCCTGGAATGTATTTTACAAAATTTACTTGTCCCGATAACAAGCTTCATTAATGATCTTTAGATGTCACCTACGCTAAAATTCACACACAATCGTGATAAATTATGCATTTCAAATGATAAAAAAATCTACGATATAATCCTAGCAAACATCGAATATAACTGAAATGTAACATAGATGTTAAATGAGTATATTTACGTATATGTTATATAGCAGATACATCTGTGTTTGCGGGGATGATTGTGATTTGACATTAATAATACAATTATGAATCAAATATAATTCCAGCAAACATCGAATATAACTAAGATGTAACATAAACGTTAAACGAGTACATTTACGTGTATGTTATACAGTAGATACATCTGTGTTTGCGGGGATGATTGTAGTTTGATGTTAATAATACAATTATGAATCAATCTATGATATAATCCCAGCAAACATCAAATATAACTGAGATGTAACATAGATGTAAAGCAAATATATTTTCATATATGTTATATACATCTGTGTTTGCTGGAATGTTGGTTTGATGTTAATAATACAATTATGAATTAAAATAACGGATATGAAGCGATTTTATTTTAAATATTTCTATACGTATCATAATGTATAAAAATAAAATAATTTAAAAATTGATAGTTTTTATTTCAGAAACATAAAAGAAATAAAAGAAAGATTAGAACATAATTAAAAAATATTTTTTAAAATAATTTTCGAAAATTTATATAAATATAAAAAATCTTAACTCGTAAATGTATAACTATAGTTGCTAGTTGTTTGCTACTATAGGTATTTATAGCACGCAGACGTAAATTATCAGGTAATTGCGTAAAATGAGTTATCATTAACAGTAATAGCAACATATTATATTCAATAGCATAAAAAAAGAGTCTAACAAATAATTTTCAGTGTATTCGCGAATTGTTATTTACAGCTGACAGTCAATATTGCGTAACATAGATCTCACATGTAAAAAGTACGAACCTCTATTTATGAAGTACAAAACTCGATTTTTATGTTCAACACAGAATAAGTGCAATATTTCTTCGTATTGTATTTTATCTAATGTTAATGTAAATTTATCATTGTATTATAATTAAAGCAGCATAGAATAATTAAAGTCTTTACTCTGCTTCTCTTTTTACTTATTAGAATAATCTAAAGTCCATTTTTCGTCGGCTATATCGTACGGTTAAAATTTTTAAAACTGCAATGTATACAATGAGCGGTAGAAAACTATTCGTGATTCATTTTTTGTAAACATAAGAAAAGAATTATTGAATATTAAAAATGTTGCTACTGACATACGGAAAAATAATAGTTTTGCATTATGTATGCTCCTCATCTGCATTGTAAAACATGGAAATTTGTTAAAAATATCCACTAACTTATCAGACTTAACTTGTAAGTTTATTGCAACTTATTGACTTAAAACACAGCATTATATTCGTCAAACGTAAATTTTTTGAGTTTAAATCAGTTTTGAAAATTATATAATATTAAATATCATACTAGAGATTCTGATTTATAAATCATCGGATATATCTATAACAATTGAGCATAATCGAGAAATTACAAAGACAGCCACAGAATATAATTTGTACGTCAAGGTATCGCGTGTTTGCATCACTAATTATTCTGCCGTATCATACGTATCGCGCTCTTCGAATGACACGCGATGACTTTATCGAAATGATTAGCGTACAATCACGCGCTGACCAATTACTTTTAACCATGACTGGTTGCATGACGTCACGTCATTCACTCGCACC